AAAAAAACATTCAAGACAAGCGCAGTTGATTTGCACGATTTAACCTTCACTGGGTTCGCGGAGTAGCAAATTAATTTACTTCCATTTTATTTGAAAGTGATTTGGGAAGATTATTGTTACACGATGCAGTGCACATCGCGAGCCGATCCCTCCTAGTCTTACTTCGCCTAAAATCGGCAGGAAGGCGTTTGATAGTAAGTATTTATAAAGTAATATCATAGTTTTCAAACCGTACAATTGCGCAAGAACGGCGCGGCGGGGTACTCGAGGGGAGTCGGGCAGCGCGTGCCGCATCCTGCAAACACGCTTAGTTCGCCGGATCGAGGTCTAAGGGATTGTGTGCATGTTTTAAACACATTTAAAAAAAAAATTTAAATGTCTTTAATCTGTCAATTATAATTTCATAAACCGTATCACAAAGGCGCTCTTTTTAGTTCTGAACCAAAATTATATTGTCTATGGTACTCGCCACTGTAGGATTTCCTTATAGTAGCGAGTAGTCTGTACACAGACCTCTATGACTTTCAATAATCTCAGTACAGAATACTAAAAAAACCGACCTCAAAAGTATGTGGAATTTGTCGTTTGCCAAGTTTTATTGAAATCGGTTACCTGAAAGTGCGCAAACCCGGATTCATCCCCTAGTTCGCCACTATACGGGACCTTGACACAGGAGATAATAAAAATCGGTTCTCACTACTCAAAGTATATTGAGAGAAAAACGCCTTGAATTGGAGAAATAGCAAAATCAACCATTAAAGTAATTGCTCCTGAATTAATGTTAGGCGCTATTTATAAAAATGAATCTTCATGCGTGAACAGCCACCCTTAGAGGTGGATGATTTTCTTCAAATTTGAATGAGACCACTACTGAGGTACCCCCTTTCCAACAAAAAGAGAGTCATCAAAATCGGTTCACAAATTCCGGAGTTATCGCGTAAAATAACAAACATACAATAAAAATATAAAACAAAAAACATGCAGTCGAATTGAGACCTCCTTTTTTTTGACTTTACAGAGAAAAATAAATATGTAATATTTATAATATACTATAATTTTGTATGAAATAATAATAATTCATGTATGTACATATTTCGCACTGTTAGTACAATAGTGTAGTAACTCAAAAAAGTGGACTTTCTCAGATTCGATGAAAAACGAATTACTCACTTCCCGCAAAACATCGTTCAATTTTATGTATATGTTACAGTTTATTATAGGCACTTAAACAATGTCTCAAATATATTTAAAAATAAAATAGACAAAACAATTTCATATTATAATTATTAATACAAAGATCGAACACTCAGAAAAAATTCCTTCGATACGGCCGGATTCGAACCGACGTCTTCTAGCATACCGTGCCAGACGCTATACCAACTAAGCCACGGAACGAACCAGCGGACCTCACGAATTTTTCTATGTGCTTGTCGTGTCTTTGTATTTGGTTTTTCAACGTCTTTCAACGTCGTTTTTGAATAAGGATTATTTTGGCCAGAACTAGCTCACATAAAGTATGTCTTATTTTGAGTGAAGTAGATATTTTTTTATTGTTTCTTACAATATTTTACCGACGGTTCTTTGGACGTGTAGAGAATCATATTTTACGTTCAGTAATGATATAATATTAAATTTCACATGTTTTGAGTTACAACACTATTGTAATAATAGCAGTGCAATAAGACGATAGTGAAGTTATAAAATTATAATTTAAAATCTGTAATGTAAAATAAATAAAACCTGAATCTATTTCTCTTGTTAAGGATTATCAATATTTATTATTATCACTTGTATAATTAAATTGAACATAATAATTTATAAAACACAAAACATGAATTCCCAAACTAACTGCTTTTTTTATAATTTATTACCAAATTCTTAGGTTTTCGCAATTGTTACACATAGGAAATGAAACTACTACATATATGTCCCATGGGACCTGTAAAGGGCCCGAAACGTAGGTTTGTTTGAAAAAAACAAATATACGCAATTTAAATCCGGAAAAAAGTTTCATTTCCTATATTATCAAATTTTTTAGTTTATTATTATTATCTAATTTCAGAATGCAAAGATTACCAAGAGGAACTGGTATACCCGTGTTCCAAGAATCAGGTTGGTGGATGTTCCAGAATCAACAACTGTGGACACGCTAGTGAGGAACTCATTCTTGGGGGAGAGATGCCCACTGTTAGACAATTCCCGCATATGGTAAGTGGAGAGAAAGAAAAAAAAAGATATACTGTGTACGTAATAAAAATGTTAAACTACCTTGACCAATCAATATACAATAATTAAAGCCCAGCGATCGAAACTTTCCTAGCATCCACTCTTTGTAGTAGCGGTAGAGCTTCTTGTGAAAAAAAATCTTTTAATTGCAGCAAGACACAAAGAACCGTGTCACGCCTTCATTCGCCTTTAGCATCGAATACTTTTAACCGACTTCAAAAAAAGGAGGAGGTTCTCAATTCGACAGTACGTTTTGTTTTTGTATGTATGTACGGGATAACTCGGCATTTGTGAAGTGATTTTGATGATTCTTTTTTTTTGTTGGAAAGAGGGTACCTCAGGTGTGGTCCCATTTATACTTGAAGAAAGTATACCAACTCTAAGGGTGGTAAACTAAGGGAATAATGACTTTTGAAGTCGGTTTTTGCTAGTACTCTTTTCTGAGATTGTTAGTATTCGTGATAAGCGAAATAGAGTTCCTTTGTTTTTACAATAAGATTCCGGAGCATATATTAAGTTTATCATTTCCTAAGTTTAAAAACTACATTAAAAATATTTTGATCGAAAAATCATATTACAAAATTGAAGACTACGTGTTAGATAAAGATGTATGGAAATACGACATGGCTTCAGAATCCACACTAATTTGATTCAAAGTGCATAGCATTTAAATTTATTTGAAAAGAGCAATCCCTAGAGTTTATTGCTCGTTCTTCTCAGGGAGGTCAGCGTAGTGAACGAGCAGTAGCTTAAATGTGACGTTTTGAAGTGTAAATTTATTTTACCTATGGAATCATTGGCTTACAAATAAATGGACGACGGGTCTAATACAAAAACCACGAAAAAAATGTCCCCAGTCAACCTATTTAAACGTAGTGACATTTCAAGGAATATGAAAAAACTAAAACGTTGAATTTAAATTGTAATGTCATCGCAGTACTGTCTAATTTTGCTTGCTTCTCTGTCAGTCGAACAAACGAAGACTAGAGCGTGAATGACGCTCTGTATACGATTTTAACGTCCTATAAGTTCGGACGCTTTTTAGCGCGGACCCGACGTCCATATAATTGTAAGTCAATGTACGGAATAAATAATCTTTGATTTTGACTTTGGTATAAACTTACTACTGACTCTTGGTAAAATATAGTATTGTATAAACATCAACACGCCAAATCGTCGTTAAGAGTCTATACTATACATACGGCTTTGGTTAATTCCAAATAACAGAGAAAGTGTTCATCTACCACTATCAAAAAATACATAGTGAAATTGAAAATATACAACGGTGTGAAAACACTCTTAAAAATGTTCACGATTGAAAAAAAAACACAAACTTACCTCGAAATTTTACAAGAAAACTATTGTATTCAATAGGTACTTTGCATATGATAATGTTTATATATCAACATCAACTGAACTAATTAGTACACGAAATACATTTTTCAAATGTCTTTAATTATGTTTTGTTTGGGATGTAAGGGGGGCACACACCATCACAGCTCTTATTGTCAACCTCACCTGCACGCGGTACATCCTGCAGTAACCGACGAGGCTCTGGCGACCGGTAGTAGGCGGTATAGCCCTTCCCCACATTGGCGCTGTCAAATCTGCTGGTTACCGACGGGCAGCAGCGTCGGTAGTACAAAGGCAGCGCCCTGCGATCTCCAACCCGCATGCCCAGCGTGGAGATTATGGGCAATAACCCCCTTCATGGACGGCACAACCAATCGAAGGCCCCCAGTTCCCGGTCGCCCCGCTATTCCTGGTCACGGTAGCGGCCATGGTACCGGCGGGGTAGGGGGTGCTAAGAATCCCCGGGCTACCGCAGGCTACCAAAAACAATTGACCCTGGCTACGTTTAACGGACGAACTCTTAGGCTTGACGAACACCTTGCACAGTTGGAAGTGGAACTGGAGAACATTAGATGGCATGTTCTGAGGCTGTGTGAAGTCCAAAGAGAGGGAGAGGACACCATAACCCTAGACTCGGGCCATCTACTGTACTTCCGCGAGGGTGATCAAACATCCCAAGGTGGTATAGGATTCCTCGTCAACAGAGTCCTCTCTAACAACGTTGAAGAGATCTCCAGTGTGTCGAACAGGGTAGCGTACCTGATCCTTCGGCTATCAAAAAGGTATAGCCTGAAGATCATTCAGGCCTACACACCGACCTCGACACATTCGGATGACGATGTAGAAGATATGTACGAGGACATATCGAAAGCCTTACACAACACCACCAAGGCTCACTTCAACGTTGTTATGGGGGACTTTAACGCTAAAGTGGGATTCCCAAATCTTGACGAGTCTCGAGTCGGCCCGCATAGTTATGGAGTAAGGAATCACAGGGGGCAAACGCTAGTCAACTTCCTCGAGCACGAGGGGCTCTTCTTGATGAATTCGTTCTTCAAGAAGAAGCCTCAAAGGAAGTGGACTTGGCGAAGCCCCGACGCTGTGACTAAAAATGAGATCGATTTCATCCTGACGGACAAGAGACACATATTCAGAGATGTTTCAGTGATCAACAGGGTTAGCACCGGATCTGATCACCGACTTGTACGAGGCTCTCTGAATATCGATGTCAAACTTGAAAGAAGCCGCTTGATGAAGTCCACGCTCCGTCCTAATCCACTCCAGATCATGGCGGGCTCCGAGAAGTTCCATGAACTTCTCGAAGCGAGATTCGTCGAGCTGGAACCCACCGAGGACGTTGACGAGGCCCTACAAGGCGTGGGTGGGACGCTGAGAAGCGAGGGCATCAAATTCTGTCAATTGCAGCGTACGGGAAAGAAGTCTAAACTCTCGGATGAGACTCTGCGACTTACGACGAAAAGACGCGATGACATCCAGGCCACTTCGTCAGAGAGGTCATACCTAAACAAGCAGATTGCGAAGATGGTACGGCGTGACCTTCGGAGCTCCAATACACGCCTCATTGAGGAGGCGATAGAGCGAAACTGAGGGTCCAAAGTATTCACTCAGCAGCTTGGAAGGAGCCAACTGACGAAGCTTACAACGCACGATGGCCTAACCGTTACGTCAAAGCCGCAGATACTCGCCGAGATAGAGGACTTCTATGGCCGTTTGTACGCTGTAAATGCTCCTCGGGTCCAGCGTGACAATCACGATTTGAGAGCCACCTTGACGCGCCACTATACCGACGACCTGCCAGAAATCAGTCAAGACGAGATCGTGTTGGCTCTAAAACAGTTTAAAAATGGAAAAGCCCCCGGTGAAGACGGAGTTACTTCGGAGCTTTTGAAGTCTGGAGGAGTTCCTATTATCCAGGAACTTCAGAAGCTCTTTAACTTGGTCATTCACTGCGGGAGAACTCCACGGGCGTGGAACAGGAGTATTGTAGTTCTCTTCTTTAAAAAGGGAGATAAAACTCTACTGAAAAACTACCGACCCATCTCACTCCTGAGTCACGTCTACAAGCTGTTTTCTAGAGTCATCACGAATCGCCTCGCGAGAAGACTCGACGAGTTTCAGCCACCGGAACAGGCCGGGTTTCGGGGAGGATATGGCACCATAGACCACATACACACAGTGAGGCAGATTATACAGAAGTCCGAAGAGTATAATCGGCCCCTGTGTTTAGCTTTCGTGGACTATGAGAAGGCCTTTGACTCTGTCGAAACCTGGGCTGTCCTGGAATTCTTGCAGCGGTGCCAAGTGGACTATCGTTATATACAAGTGTTGAGATGTCTTTACGATGGTCCAAGTACAGGACCAGCAGTCTGAACCTATCCAATTACGCAGAGGGGTGAGACAGGGGGATGTCATATCCCCGAAATTGTTCACCGCTGCATTGGAGGATATGTTTAAGACGCTGGACTGGAAAAGGATGGGCATTAACATAAACGGCGAGTACATCTCACACTTGCGATTTGCAGATGACATAGTCCTAATGGCAGAATCGCTGGAGGAACTGGATCAGATGCTGAACAGCCTAGCATCCGCCTCGCGGCGGATTGGTCTCGGCATGAACTTTGATAAAACCAAAGTCATGATCAATGACCACATTGATCCGAGACCCATCTGCGTCAATGGCCACCTTCTTGAAGTTGTTTCCGAATACACTTACCTCGGGCAGATTCTGCAGTTAGGTAGAAATAACTTCGAGAAGGAGGCCAGGAGGAGGATTCAGCTTGGCTGGGCAACGTTTGGGAAGCTACGTCGAGTCTTTTCGTCACCCATCCCGCAGAGCTTAAAAACAAAGGTTTTCAACCAGTGCGTCCTACCAGTTCTAACGTACGGAGCCGAGTCGTGGACACTCACGATACGGCTAGTCCACCAGTTTAAAGTCGCTCAGCGAGCTATAGAACGAGCTATGCTCGGAGTTTCTCTGAAAGATAAACTCCGTAATGAGGTTATCAGACAGAGAACCAAAGTGATCGACATAGCTCTTCGGATAAGCAAGCTGAAGTGGCAGTGGGCTGGGCATATCTGCCGAAGAACCGACAACCGCTGGGGTAAACGAGTTCTTGAGTGGAGACCACGACTTGGCAAACGTAGTGTGGGACGCCCTCCAGCCAGATGGAGTGACGATCTGCGGAAGATTGCTGGCAGGAAATGGATGCGTCAAGCCGAGAACAGGGCGAAATGGCGTGCATTAGGGGAGGCCTATGTCCAGCAGTGGACTGCAATAGGCTGATGATGATGATGATGTTTTGTTTGTAAAAGAATAAATTCTGAAATAAAGCCAGTGTCCCTGTAGCAAAATGAACCGTATTAGTACGGGATAAAATTTTATTCCAGCTGAGATAGCATCAACTCTTAAGGGCTATATCTGAAAACGGACTTAACGAAATTGTGGGAAGCCAATAGGTTGCGAGCTAGGAAGGGTTATAATAGCATACCCTTATAGCAGCATAGACGATGAATCTATTTACATTTCGACGATTACTCGAGCCTATAACGAAGATTTATTCCAGTGTTGAGCGGTCTGCTGCAGTGTCGCTTGAATAATAATCAATCCATTATTCCTAGGCTCTGCTGGGTTTTGGAGATAGAGATAATCTGGAATGGCTATGCGCAGGATCCGTCATTAGCGAGAAATTCATACTCACGGCTGGACATTGCACTTTTGAAAGACAGAAGTAAGTAGCCATTTAGTACTCATTTTTATTTATTTATTAAAATTACACAGTATTACATTAAATTACCAAGGCACTATCAAATCCAATAACTAGATAATATTGATAGTATTTTACAAAACTTCAAACGTTCATCTCACACATAACCACCCATCTACTTGCAAAAAAAATCACAGTCTGATACAGATACGAGAAGTGCATTAAAACAGTGTAGAGTGCGAACAAGTGGTAATTTACAGTGTGCACCGGCAGTACTGCCAGAAGATGGTGTCCACGTGGCCGCAAATTAAATTTATTTAGCAGGGGACGAACAGGAGCACCAGTTGTTCCACTAATTCTGGGCAATTCTACAGCAATAGTCATCTGACCATACTTACGTCTTACTTCTAAAAAATTACCAAGACGCCAAGGAGGAATTTCATAGGGTATAAAAATGGATAGTACCTGTAAATTGACTTACATAGAATCTTAAAAACGTTAAATTTCCTCGAGAAGCTGGACGTAAGTAATCTTTCGAGGGTTCCAAATTATTGAAGCCACCTCTAGTTTACTTTTGAGCGGTATATCGACTAGAGCTTGAAAGTGATAGAATTGGTCTGGCAATCAACAGGGCGAAAACAAAAATAATGGTAGTGGACCGCGCCGGGAAGTTAACAAACACCACTTGCTGGCATTTCTAGTATTGACATCGTCGACGACTATATCTACCTGGGTTCCCAAATTCGTAGTATTGGCAGCTGTTTCCCTGAGATAAAGCGTCGTATTGGAATGGCAAAGGATGCTATTACCCTCCTATACAACATTTGGAAGAAGAGAGGAATTGGTGTCAAAACTACGTACGTGCTTTGGTGTTTCCCATTTTCCTATATAGTGAGGAGGCATGGTCAATTCTGACAAAGGAAAGACAGAATTGATGCGTTCAAAATGTAGTGCAGGAGATGGATGTTGAGACTACCTTGGACCGCCAAAAGTACCAATGCATCAATCCTGTCTCAGCTTCAAATTAAGACTCGGTTTGCCACCATATGCCACCAATGTATTCTTTTATATTTCGTCCACATGATGCGCTGAGGCGATGAAAATTTGGAAACTGATTGTAGTTGGTAATACGGAAGGAAGGCGAGTACGAGGCCGTGCATCAAAGAGATGGATCGCCCAAGTGAAAGACTCAACGTCCTCCAAATTTTGCGCCGTCATCAGGGATGCGATGGATAGAAACAGATGGAGGCAGATCATCCGCTTCAGAAGTAGGTACGAAGCTGACTACGATCATCAGACATGAGGGAACGACGAGAGAGAGAGACAGAGATAGTAAATAAGTTTGATAACCCTAGGATCATAAAAATCACGAGTGTTCCTTATCTGTAATGTCTGGGTTATATTAGGTAGTGAACATTATCCCGAGAATGCCCGGTCTTAGACCGTATGCTCGTCTTAAGCCCGCTCCACATTTTTGCCAAAACTTCACGAGAACAGCCAAATACGAGAGCGTAGTGACCATATTCGTTAAGTCTCGCCTGTGTTCGTGTGGTCTCCACTTCGTGTCGGTATTTCGGACCCGAATCAAAGGGCTCGCGTGTAGTTTTGTGTTTGCGCGAGACCCTTTCTTCCACATTCTCGTCACGGCGCGGCAATCCGCCGGCAGTAGCCGCAGTGTTCTGTTGCAATGTATTGATGTCATTCACCATCTGCGTCTATTCCAAGTCTCTTAACAAGTTTCTTTTTCTCGAATTAACAAAAAATTATAATATGCTATAGCACATAATGCTTCAGCAACAGACGATCTAACACGTCCATCTTGTATGACTACCGAACGGACAACTGAGCCTCTCTCGGTCTCGTCCTGTCTCGGCAAGACCCGAGACCGGGATGTTTCGACGAGAATGTAGAGTACACTTTAAAGCAGAACACATGTCGCTTTTAAGAAAATGGCATGGAAGTGGTGATGGAAATCGTTGGGAAAAAACATATACACCGGGAAGGTTCACAGTTTCTAGTAACCATGCCGTCGAACCATGGTTTTAACAATTGTTTAAATTAAGAGAAATTAATTTGAATAAAAAATGATAAAGTAACTCTGACTTTTCATGGGACATTTCGTTGTCTTTTCCAGTGGCAACGTAACTCACGTTCTTGTAGGCGGTTTAAAACGCTCAGAAATGGACAAAGCGAAGATACATCGCATCAAGAGGATCATCAAACATCCGGAGTACAAGCCGCCGGCAATATATAATGATATCGCCTTGTTGGAGTTGGAGGTTCCGTAAGTGTTTTTAAAAAAATATTTATTTAACACAATTCTACATTGACCCGCACGCGGGACATCAGAGCTGGCGACATCATGAATACCGTTTGGCAAGCCACTCGACCACGGATATATTCCAATACTGTCAATCTCGTTGCTGCCAGTTGTTTTTGATGTCATTTTTCCAACTCATTTGTAATGTTCTGGCTGCCATAAATTGTCCTTTGCTACGAACGAAACATAACCATGTTTCGCAAGGCTATTTGTCCAACGGCTGGTTGTTAAATCTCAACTGTTGTAATTTATAATATCTTTGTTTATTACCGTTATCTATTTTCTCCAGTCTCACCCTAAGCAAAGAAGTAGTCCCAGCTTGTCTGAATATCGATGACCAGGTGAAAGACCATCGAGCCTTCGCCACGGGATGGGGAGCTACCATATATAAAAACCGGACATCTAACATTGAGATTTTGCAAAAGGTAAGAAAATATAGGACTACGTATTATTTTCTTGGGAGTCCGACCAGGTGAAGGAAGAACCTCGGTCACGGGGTGAAAACCTACTGCGTACAATAATCAAGACTGTAACATTGTCTGTGCAAAAGGTATGGGTATCACCAGGTCGAATTGTAGCTTCTTGTGGGGTTGTAGTAGGAGACTAGATGAACCTTCTAGGTCAGTATTTCTTAACCTGTGGTCAATGGAGCCCTAGTGTATGGAGGTCACACCGTCACAAGCTGTGGAAAGAACCTTTTGATTGGACTTCCAAAGAAAAAGGTATCTGGTTGAAAACAATTCAACCTGAGCCACTGGAAGTTCCATGGATTGATAACTGTACGCTGAACAGACTTAGTGTTGTGACGGCCCTGAGGTTGCGCTCTGGGCACATTCCTTCAAAGAAGTTTACCTTTTTGATGGGCATTACACCAACTCCGTATTGTAACAAATGCGGCGTCATTGAAGACGTTTATCACGTTTTGATGGAATGTGTTCGGACCGAGAGACTCAGAAGACAGTTGGGCAGTGTGGTTAACATACGACAGACTGGGTGGTGTAACACTATACTGGCCGTTCCTACGTCGAATGAAGCCAAGATACTGTACAAAATATATTTAGATAGTCTTAATCTAGGTTAGATGTATAAATTAAGTAGCATTACAGAGCGACATTACCATTGGAGACATGGTAAAGCTCCTTAAATGTAGATATAAAAAAAATCCGTATGTGTATCTGTTGCACAGATTTTGTAAGCGCTAAAGTTTACCTAAAAGATTCTCATTAAGGTCAATTATACGGATATCAGCATAATCTAGTAAAAGTTCCAATCAAACATTAAAGAATTAATTTTCATACGCGATGCGTATGTTCACTTAATTTATTTTATTTTGCTCATTTATTTATTCATTTCTTTTTAACCGACTTCAAAAAAGGAGGGGGTTCTCAATTCGACTGTATGTTGAATTTTTTTCTTTTCTTTTTTGTATGTATGTTACGCGATAACTCCGGTAGTTGTGAACCGATTTTCATGATTCTTTTTTTGTTGGAAAGGGGGTATTTCCATAGTGGTCCCATTTCATTTTGAAGAAAATCATCCACCTCAAAGGGTGGCTGTTCACGCATGAAGATTCATTTTATAAATAGCACCTAACTTTAATTTAGGAGCAATTACTTTTAGCAATTATTTAGTTGAGTTTGCTATTTCTCCAATTCAAGGCGTTTTTCTCTCGAAATACTTTGAGTAGTGTCGTAGTGAGAACCTATTTTTATTATCTCCAGCGTCAAGTCCTGTATAGTGGCGAACTAGGGGATATTTCAATGAAACTTAGCAAATAGACGTAATTCCACGTACTTTTGAGGTCGGTTTTTTTTGTACTCTGTACTGAGATTATATAGTTACAGTTTGATATTTTTATAATGTTAGAAGTATTTATGATTTAGTGTTAAGTTGTATTCATATGTAGGTATAGTGTATAATACTTATTAATATTGAGTTTTATTGTGTATAGTAAGTATTGTTTGTATGTAAGTGTACGTATTTAGTTTACTTAATTTGTTTCACAATTATATGAATGTATATAATCTGTATAATTATTTATCACGCTTATGGACACCCCGTGCTCTGTTTTTATTTTAATGTATAAATCGAGGATAACTGTTACTGGCTTTGTAATATGTAATTTAATTTTTTGTAACCTATCATTATTGCTGTTGTTATCCCAAATAAATAAATAAATAAATAAAATAAATAAAAGTAACAGCAGCGATTGCGCAAGTCCCACCTTGGTCTTCACTTTGTATTAGTATAAGTAATTAGCATGTAAGTGTTTTGGTTATTGATTACTGTAAGTCATCGAGTATATAACCAGAAATAGAGACGAAATAAGATCCTTCCATCCCTGGCAACTCATCAGGCAAATGGGCCTTATATCACTTTTAAATATCAACTCTCGTTTGCGCTGAAATCACAAAATAAAAAGCTGAAATAGAACAGCGAAACAACTGACCTGTGTCTACGTCTGTGTATATTCCAAAAATATTCTGCATTTATTGTAATAAAGGTAATATCTCTAACAATGGGGGCTGTTCCATTCGGTGATGTGGGGAAAACATTAAAGCATCTCATTGTTTTGTAATTAGAAACGGAATCACATTTCATCGGTAATTAAATATTAAATACGTGATTTTTAAATTTTCGTCCATTATAGCAAAGCTTAAGTTAAACTGGTCGATTTGAAATGAAACAATTGACGACACCCGTCAATTGTTTCGAATTCGGGCTGGCCAATCGGAGCGCAGTTGTCGTCGTAATGATTTGACAGAATAGTTTTGAAACAAATTAAATGACATTTCACCTCTATTGCTGGTTATATACTCTATGCAGTAAGTTTACATTGTGTTTTTATAAATAAATAAGCAAGTGCTTCTATTCCAGATGTTTCTAACGAAATTCAGCATAGAAGAATGTCAGAGGTTACTCCGTAGTCCTAAGGTTATTATCATTGATCCCACCACGCAGTCGTGCTATGGCGATCATACGCAATCTAAAGACTATTGTCAGGTAGGAAAATCTCTTTATTTTTAACCAACTTTAAAAAACGACGAGGTTCTCAAATCGATTGAATTTTTTTGGGTGTGTATTACGCGATTACACTGACATTTCGTTGGGGATAGTGCAAGGCCGCGTAAGTGGCATGGGTAAAAGGCGCGTACCTGCAGTAAACCAAATTATATACAGGAGAGGGATTTTAACGTTATTAGTTATATTCACGTCTCCCGTTTCGGTACCCGACTGCTGATCTATACAATTCATTCAAAGTTCTTACAGTCAGGCAGCTCTTTATTTTGTTTACTGTTTTGAAACAACACTCTCAGACATCTTTCACTCCCTTCTGGCTTCGCGACGCATAAATATGCTCGTATGTCCTTCAAAATTAGTTTCGACAACAACTGCTCAGCGTTTCTTTCAATTCCTAGGCCCTTTCTTATATAATAAATTAAATAATATATCCCCTTTTTGTGAACTCTCCAAATACGAATGCAAACTAAAATTGACCAGATATCTCTTGCTCCTTAAGTACGAGTATGATGAGACTGAAAATCTACTAAAAGTCGTCAAATAACCTCACACTTCCACACTCACAAACACACACACACACACACACACACACACACACACAGACACACAATCACCCACACACTCAGACACACACTCACTCATGCACTCAGACACACTCACTCACGCGCTCACGCGCGCACACATAATTTGTTTTACTTATTTTTTACTTCCTCCTCAGTACTCTGTATTTCGTCATTACTACTAACATGACTATCCTAGGGGTTGGGTGCCTGGAGACCCATATTACAAGCTCTGCTTAGTTTGGGCTACAGTCTCCCACAATACATTACTCTAAGCTTACGTAATAATGTATATTTACTGTAATTGTAACGTTTCTTTGTATTGTGTTGTGGAGATAAATAAAGATATTTATTATTATTATTATATTACTTTGATATTTTAATGGAAAAGATTTTCATTTTTGCACAGTAACCATTAATTTATGTTGTCTACGGTCACACCAGAGAACTAACAGTAACGAGAATGGAGACTCTCCGCCCCTCCCTAGCTTTAGATGTCGCACCACGTCCCGCACATTGACGGTCACATTGACTAAACGGCAACAAGGCTGTCAGCAAGTCGTTTTCGCGATAAGACGGCTTTGATATTTGAATATAGTTTTCATTTATTCATTACGAAACTTGTACGTTGATATGTAACATCATTGCACTATTTATAATGGTCGTGAATTGTGTTGTGTATGGCTGTTTATAATCATCTAAATGGGATAAAGTGAGGAGTTTCTTCCGTTTTCCAGAAGCTGGAACGAAGTAAGTAAAGAAAACTTGTCCGAGACTCATTCAGTTATTGTTTTCTTTATTTATTTAGTGCTGAGTAATATATAACACAGATTTATTATATCCTGATGACCTAGTAGACAAGGGTTCTCGTATTTTCAATTTGTATTACCGATAAATAATATACAGTGAATATGCCTTATTATTAACTAGGTAACCTTGGACACGCAATTTCAAATACTTTGGTTACCTTATTTAAAAGTACCTGTCCAAAATATAACATTTTAAGTGCTTTTAATATATTTTTAAAATAAATCTTCAATATTATTCTAGTTAGTGTATTAATGAAAAATATAATATTGTATCGATGTAAATATTATTACAATCATTATTACGGATAAGACATTCGCGTTAGAATTTTCGTTATATTGCCGCTCTGACCCCGTAACGTAATAGTACGACAAAGTGATGGGTACCCTGCCACTTCACGCACACATTTGCGCGTGTGCAGATAGCCTTGCTGTATGTAGTAGTTGTAGATAAATAACTTTCGACTGTTGTATGGAGTGTCCGGGGTGTGCTCACACTAATAGATTCCCGTAAATCACGCTAATTTGGTGGCTACGACATTCACGCGAATTTGATTTGGCCACTAAATTCCGAAAATGGAAACTCATAGTCCAATTATAGTTAAGCCTAATTGCACTATCCACGATGATCTGTGAACCGATTTTGATGATTCTCTTTTTGTTTGAAAGGGGGTTGTAGTTGGCGAAATATTGTTCTCACCGATTCGTCTTACCGCTTCATCTTTGAAGCACAATAGGACAAAAAAGTGAACCGTCTCGGTAACTTGGTACTTGGTACTTGGTGTAGCGGGCTGGTGTCCGCAACTCGACGTCAAGGCGCCTATTTGGCGTGTGGTGGGTGCAGGGTCCTACTCGTGCGACCCAAGTTCCTCCAGGAATCTCAGCAACCTCTTCGGTTTGCTGAAGACTTCGGGGAGCGACCTTGGCACTCCAAGGTACTTTGCCCTGTAGTTGGCCACGCCGGAGCACTGTAGTAGGATGTGCGCAGCCGTTTCCTCCCCCTCCATGCACGCTCTGCATAGAGGGCTGTTTGTGATACCTAAATTGAAAAGGTGTTCATTGTATGGACCATGACCCGTTAGGGCGGCAGTTAGAGTGCGAAGCTCTTGCCTTTTGAGT